TTTCTAAACAGGTTTTGAAGCATCTGTTAAAATGTTTTGAATGTGTATGTCTGCATATCAGCAATTTGTTTTCAGAGATACAGGCCACCTTAAATCTCCTTCTGATACATGTTTCCATATCCCTTGTGATCTGGTAACTGATGACCCAGCATCAGTCACAGCTATTTTCTGCTGCTGGATAGAGCCAGGTGCTTGCAAAGAATTGAAGTTTGTGCTCACGCTCCTTTCACTAAGACGTCAAAACTCCCCATGGTGCATTAGCAATTATACAGAAAAGAGTAACAAGTGACTCTGAGTAATCTTTTCCTCTGGATGTTGGAGAATGTGCGTGTGTGATGACATATGGAAAGTCCCAGGCGCATCTACTGATGACAAATGAGAACTATTCCAAAGAGAGATGAGCAGTGTCAATGTGTCAGAAATGGCACTGCTTTCATTTCTTGACATAACCTGGAGGAACAGAGGTGCTGAGTCAAAGTTAGCGCACATTTGCATTTGTCACTAAGAATAATTGCGCTACTGGTCCTTTCACAAAACCAAAGTGCATCTGATTGAAATGGCGAATGTTATTCACAAAGCCCCACTTGATTTAGCAATTCAAATAAAGGGGGTACAGAATACTGCATTTCCTTTGTGCAAAGCATTCAGTGAAAAAGGCGCAGCAACTTCTAGTAAATGTACTTAAATCTACAGGATTAATCACCACTCTAAAAACACGAGGGGAGTCCTAAAAATAAAAACAGCACTTATGAAATAAGCAAATCAAGGACACTTGGGTGGAAAAAAAGTGCCTGCTGCATCATTCTAGAAAGAGTTACACGAAAACACGGCTACATGCACAAAGCCCAGCTGTTAAGCATCAGACTCTACCAGAATCAGACAATTTCATCCCGAACTACAAAACCATCGCTCCTTGCAGCCCCCCTGTTGACCAGGTCCAGCTCTCTCCCCTCAACACGGATACGCCTCAAACCTCTCTTTTGTGTCCTCTTTTTCTCCACTGATGCCACTGGTTTAAATTCGCCCTCTACCTTGCTTCAGCTCTTCATCTGTTAGCTCCTCTCCTTTATATGAGGCATTTGGCAAAGGATAAAAGTCCCAGGCATCCCTCTTAAACTACTCTACATGTTTATTAATTAGTTGGCATTTTGCTTACTATCTAATGAGATGTGCAACAACCACTGCTGTCTCACAGAATTCAAACTTTTCCCTTTCCCCTACCACTACCCCCCCCACCTCCTAAAATAAAGTCCCCAATACTTCTTGGTATAGCTGAAATACTGTATTTATGGGCTAAATCTATTTTTTCTGTAAGTTCCATACAAACTCAATATATAATTTTGAAATGCAGAATTTGAATGTCAAACTATAGCTTTTAGGAATTTTCTAAACTAAAATGGCATATTCTTGCACAACATTCAACATAACAAAATCCCACAAGGCAAGATGTTCAATAGATGTTACCTATGAAATTGCTCAACCTCCTTTATTCCTGTTGATATAATGCACTCAAATAATTCAGGGCAACTAATGTACCCACAGCCAGTTATTTATCTATTCCTTACAGATACACACAGTGTCATGGTCAAGTCAGTAATGCAGTGTTCAGCTCCTCTGAAAATCGCTAGATTAAGACAGACCATGGGCCCATATGCTGCATACTTTTTAACCCAAGGCTGTTCCTGTCTCCTATGCCACACAGCTGCAAGAATTGATTGCAAACCTTGGCTCATCCCGCTGTCCCATTACAGTAACCTGGTCAAAATCAAACTGTTTTCTGTGGTTAGAGACCCAAAATGAGGTGCTACATAGCTAGCTAGCCACAATGCCAGCACGACAAATTACCTCCTCAGTCCAAAAGACCCAAGAATTACAGTGGTGCAAGGGACAACATGAAACAGGTGAGCAGGTCAAAAACTCAGCCCTGGCACATCACTGGGATACCTGTAACATCCTCTACACTAAACGACAGTCATGAACAGCATGCACTCATGATCAGCAAATAAAATGGAAAATTCTTTTCAAGATGACAAGAAAATAAGGTATTTTTCCCTTGTTTTTTAGATATGACAGTTTCAGTCTGACAGATGGCACAGGTATACCTCAAATACAACATTCAGTCCTGGGTGCATTTGAAAGATGTCAGTAAACTGGAGTGAGTATAGGAATCATCAGGAAACAATCACCAGCCTGGCAGAACAGGCAAGTGAACGAAAAAATTTAAATGGGTTCAGGTAGCTAGCTATACAAAGTGTGGCAAATCAACGAGCAACTGTGTTAGGAAATGTGACAACACTTGAGACATGCTTGCTAGAGTGCAAACATGAAGATGGGTATCATATCCACACAATGGCCCAAGGGAAAATGGCAAGCCATATTCCATTGAAATTAGAGGGAAAAGTATAACTTTGTTGAAAATCAGAATCAGAGAACCCCCTTGAACAGTCAATTAGTCTTCCAGGGAAAGGAACGGGTAGAGAGCTAATCACAGAGCCTTTTAAAGTCAGGACAGAAAAGGAGCTTAAATAAAATTAATGGAAAAAGTCTGTATTAGCAAGGTTACTAACAGATATGTTTCCCATAGCTAGTTTCAATAAGTTATGAATGAGTAAAATGTTACTTGCTTTTCTCACTAGTAGCTCGGAGAATAAAGTTGTAGGTTGAGTATGACATTGATGACTCTCAATGTGACTCATGGTAAAAAATTCAAAGCATACTCCTGCATTATATTTCAATAGTGTGCAGAATAATAGCAGCAGGGAATTTCAGTTCAAGTGCTTTTTATGCATTTGAAGTGGCAGCATTGGCTAAGATCCAAAACAGCTCCTCCACAAGCTTCTACTGACTTTTAGTTGTTCCTGAATATCACACACACTGATTTCTTCTTCATGATAAAATGCAACAGAAAGCATACTGCACTACTTTTTTTTTTTTCATTTAGTAATGGCTCATCTTATAAGGAACAATTTCTAAATACATGGGCTGTTCTTGTGCCAAAGAATGCTTTTGGATGCACGATTCCTCTATGAATTTCATACTACACCCAAACAACCATATCTGAATACAGTCTGGCAGATTTTCCTACAGAAAACGCTAAAGAAACTATAGAAGAAATAAAAAAAAAAATAGTTTTAGTACTCTACCCCAACATGTAGTTAGATTTTGAACACCATTTTAATTTGTAGCTACAATTATAAGATCTCTCCCCTAGTCTTAATTAGATCCCTGTCTCCTCTAAAAACTAATTACACTTCATATGAAGCACTGGCTTAGGAAGCCCCTGCATTCTTGCAAAGGCAGAGGTAGTTCTATTCCCAGCTGTGTTACAGTGACTTGCTATATGCCTCCCAGCAAGAAAAAATAAACACATTTTCAAAAGGCAATCACAAACTACAAAGCTTTCTAGACACTGATTTACCTTTCATGTGTGGTGAATCTCTACATCTCCAGCAGAAATGAGAAGGAATCATCAGCAGTTTTGAAAAATAAGGCCTTACAGTCCAGATTTAAAAAATAATTAGGCAATAACAATTGTGCAGAAATGGCTGTTAGACATCTGAACTGTTTATGTTCCCTCAAAAATCCCATCAGTACATAGCCATCATTACAAATAATTCTGTCTACTCACAGAGGTAAAGGAATGCATGTTTTTTTAAAATTCAGGTATCTTAAAGGGGATTCAGCTACCTAAGCACCTTTTATGAGGCCAGCATGTAAATACCTTTGATTAACTGAAACATAAGACTCAGGCTAAGGTACTCGAAACTGTTGCATACTTTTCAAAATATGCAATGAAATCCCGGCTCCATGACATTCCATGGCAAAGCTCCCACTGACTTTAAAAAAAATCCAAGTGAAGATTTACCCTTGTCTCAGTTTCTTTATCATTAAATCTGCAATAAAAATGTATCAGAGATGATGTACTCCCTTTATCCTTGCCATGTCTGTACACTTTAGCACATTCAGTCACCAAAATGGTCACCAAAATTTGATAAGCGTATTGAAGATGGAAAACGACCTCTAAGTGGTACGTTGTGTAACAAGTATGTCTAAAGAATGAAAGCAAAAATGGCCAGAAAACTTCAGTCTTCTGCTAGTGCAAGATTAAAACCAGTTAGTACAAAGCTCTTAAAACCACTAGTACAGAGCTCTTAATCTGAACATCTCCTCAGAGCCTTTGATAAAGACAGTGCTATGAAGACTAAAGAAAAATGAGACGCTATAGAGCGTATAAAGAGAACAATTCACCTATAGAATTCACCTATAGAATGAAAGAGGACCAAACACCAAAGAGTAACTCCTCCATTCTTGATGTCTCCCTGACATCATGTGTATTTGCACTGACTTGAACTGTTCAGCCAGCAGTGCCCCGAACTGCAGAGAAAGCATCGACGGAAGCAGTAGTGCAGCTGCAAGTGCTTGTCACCCTGTTTACCAAGGCCATTGTACTGAGGAAACTAAATATAGAGATTCAAAAATCTGATTCAGGCATCTCTGTCTTAAAATCTGGGCTAGTTTTACTACGACCCAAACTGTCTTCTCAGGTATGCTGTGATACATAAAACATACTCCACACTGAGTAACTGAACTGCAAATAGGTGAAATGAAGCAAGAGTCAAAATAACACAAATATGAACTCTTGGGAAGATTATTTTTTCAGTTTGAGGGTTAGGGTCTCGGGTTCTTCTTGAGGGAGAAGAGTTCACAAAGAAAAACCTTCAAGGAGTATTTCCCCAAGTGGGTGCACTTTAATGCCCTCTAAAAAATTCCCCTGGAAAACTGAGCCGGCATGGGTCAAACTGCTCACCTGCTCACACAATTGTTTGTCATCAGAAGCATCAGTGATGTGAGTCATGCGAGCACCGCGATCAATAAACACCTTCATTTTTCTCACAGCCCCCTCGGGTGCTGCGGGGCTGCTGCGGAGGCTGCTCCTCCAGAAGATAAAAGCAGGAGCTCGGCAGTGGAGTGATAATACTTCATTTTGAAAGGTAGCTTACTTTCCATCATCTGATGGCGTCATTAAGCCCAAGAGAAGTGGGAGAACTGTGTGAAATTACTGCCTGAGGTGAAATGGAATGGTAAAGCCCCATCACTTACTCGCACCAGAGAAATTAAAAGGAAAAATAGCAGTCTCCTTTCACATCAGGACACACATAGCAGAGGGCCTGAAAAATGGAGCAAGCCTCCTTAACGAAATACAGTGATACTTTAAGGCACAGAAACTACTACTGTGGGAGAGTCCATGATGCATTAATCAAAATGCATCTGAAAAACCTCATCTTCAAATTACGCTAGACAGTGTGCGATCTGGCCTCGCGAGGACCCAGCCAGCTCCTGGGGCGTGCTGTCTTCTCAGCCCCTACTCAGGCAGCCGTGGAAGCAGAGGATGCTTAGTGCTGTACAGGACAGGGCCCTCTGCTCAAAGGAAAATCCAACCTTAATTTGACCTAAATGACTCAATCAGATCAAACAGCTTTAATTAACAACATTTAACAAGAACATGGGCTAGTGGTGTAAGCGAACAAGTTTCAAGCTTATTTTAAAAACAGGATGACAGAACAACTTAGCACTGACTATTTCACCTGCCATGCCACTCTGCAAGAAAACTGGTTGAGCAGAAGGAAACAGAAATAAGCCTTTCTTCTCCCTTCCCAGCTTCTCTAGTTAGTGCATCACCACAGGACATCACCTGTTGCTCTTACTTCTCGACTTCATTCTCTCTGGGCTACAACACTTGTGGAAACATTGTCAAAAGTGCTGGGACAATGCTGTAGCGGGAAAGCCACCAATAGCTCTTCTGAAACAAACACCCAGGAGTGACACTGAACTGTTTCAGCTCAAACAGATATTCAATGGTAGATAAAAAGAGAGCTCTTCTATCACAGGCATCAGCTGGAAGACCATTCCTTCTCTTATCAAGTTTTCAATGATGGCAAAAATACTGTTATCAAGAGGATATGAGTCCTTCATATCTTTCAGTCTTGACTGACTCCTGCCAAATAAAGATATTTTCAATCCCAACAAAAGATCTAGAGTTGGCTGAGGTTTTGCCACGTTTTTTCAAGTCATCAGCTACATATCATCAGAATGCTACATCTACTGCCTGCCTAATTTAGCTAGGTATATCACACCATAAATAGGTTGTGCAATGAAATTCCAACTAGTACAGACAACACCGCTTTGCTCGTCTGCAAACTGCAAAAGCCTGCCACTTCCCTTTTTAAAGTAACAAAGTGGAAAGGTGGGAGGGAGGAGGTAGCTGAGAAGAAGAGGGGGAGAAGTGTAATGTAGACAGGATTGTATTTATTTATGTATTTCTCTCACTATCCTACTCTGTTCTAGCTGATAATTGCTGGTAGTAAATTAAAATTATGTTTTAATTCCAAATCTCCTTGGGTTTTTCCCCATGACTGTAAGTGGTTAATGAACCTTCCCTGTCCTAATCTCAATCCTTGAGCCTTCTTGTCGAATTTTCTCCCTCTCCATTCCCGTGGTGGGAGGAGTGAATGAGCGGCTGCCTGGACCTTTGTTGCCGGCCCAGGCAGCCAGCTCAAACCACGTCAAAAGGCTTACAAGAAGGCAACTGCTATTCATTTCAAACATAGTAAAGATTTTGAGCTTTACTTTTGGAACACCCACTAGGCACTTTTTACCAAACTCCCACCAAAAATAGTCACAGCAGTTGACCATTCAATTGACGCTGCTTCCCAGAGCAAGCAGATTTTACTGACCTCCCATTTGCTAAACTGTCTACAAATAGAATTAGATAACTAGTAATCAGTTTGATTTTTTTAAAAGCTTGAAAATTTACCAAGATAATGTCCTGTAAGTAGTGTAAGAGGCAATGGGAACAAGAGGTAATTCCACTGGGAACAAGAGGAATTGCTATACCTCTTACAGTGAGGACAATGCATTTACTGAGCATGAGCACTGTTGCACGTTTCTACGGAAAAGGACCAGTCTTGTAATTTCCATAAGCTTTACAGCAGTGGCAAAGCCAATATAGAGCTTACAGACAGAGCAATGCTATAGAAAACTGGTAAGGAAAATTGGAAGAAAAATACAGAACCAGTTAAATCACTTTAATTTATAAACAAATCCTCTGGTTAAAGATTTTTTTCTGGTTTTGAGGGTTTTTTTGAAAATCTTTTTCCAGCATAGATTACATCAAAATAAGAGAAAGAAAATTGCTCTTGTATGACACCCTTTACTAATGAATCCTACCTTTATTGAGAAATTACAATAATTCAAATTCAAGTTCTTAAACAATTTGTTATCCCTCACCTTCTGTGAATTCACCACATCATTCTAACCTAATGAATATGAGCATAATGCATACTACATCTTTCTAACATCAAAACCACTTGCCTTTGTAAATGGTAATTAGAAATAAATGAAATTACAGAGAAATAACTAAATTTTGTTTGTTTGATTTGTTTTAAAAATAAAAAGCAGATCCTGCAGGACTGAGGAAGTGTGAAGTGAAGCTAATTTCATTTGATGTACTATATTTACTTTATTAGATCAGGAGAGAAATGGAAGTGCAGCAGTGTGCTGTAAATGTGCCTAACAAACTAGGCAAATATAGGTATCAACAATTTGCACAATGTATTTCCAGCGAGCTCTATTTGTTTTCATCCAAGTATTTGTGTAAGCAGAAACTAGAGTCTAAAGCTAAATCTGAAAAGGAAAACAAAAATGATACAGCTCATTCAGACTAGAGGTCTAGGAATGTACACTATTTAATTTAGGAGTCTATACAGCTTTTCTGGGTCATGCAGTCCCTCCAGTGACCTCAGCTGATCTTGCACCCTCTGAAAAACAGAATTCTAAATCAAAGGTTCTTTGTGTTTGCCTCTGCTTTTACACCTTCTTCCTTCAAATCCACCAGCAAAAATGAACATCCTTTCCTTAAGCAAGAACTGAAAACAAGATGTCAGCACCTCTTCTGTGGGAGAGGGCAGGGGAAGAGGGTGGCGAGAAGTGGGTATGCTTTGTGGGATCAAAAAGGTGTGGAGAGAGACATGACGTGGGAATCTTTAGCAACTAGATTTCTAAACCAAACTGCTCCTTCAACCAATAACGGCCCCCAACATCCATTTCACAGAATCACAGTATGTCAGGGGTTGGAA